AGAACCTCACCAAACTAACTCTAAATTCCCCAAGCCAGCAACTAAACACTACGAATTCCTTAGGGTGGTGCCAGTCTCATCTTCTTTGCTTTCCCATGCTCATGCTGTGGGCTGAGGTGATGCTTGTGTCCTTCACCCCTCTCATTCCATTCCATCATACCTACGGCCCTTTCCAGGCACTGCTGTGGCCTGTGACTTTGCTCTTTCTTCCTTGGCTCCTGGAGCTTTACTCACAAGGTGCCTGCAGATTTCCTCATGAAGAGCTACCTTCCAGAGCACACATGTATGATCTCTTTGGGTTCTCCTTGTCCGGAGAAGCTCCGCTGATCAAGGTTTGCTCCCGGTTGCAGTTTTCTGCCTTGGAGTGATCCCTGTCCTTTGGAGGTGTGTCAGTCTGCCACTTTCCTCCACTCGAAAGCCCCCACCCTGGTGGTGTTCTAGAGGGCCTTAAAGACCTGGCTGCTCTCCCAGGCCTTGGGGAAAGGTGGCTGGATCCCCTTGTGTTGTTGTTTTAATTTGCTCTTTATTTAGCTTTTTCCTTTTCCTTATTAATATTGTATTTTATTCTGTTTATTCTGTTTCTGTTTATTCCTTTATTCGATTTATATTGTGAGCCATTCAGGAGTAATTCTGGTGCCAGGCAACACCTATATCAAATGAATTAAATTAAATTAAATTAAAATAATTAAATATGTTTCACCACCCTTACCACCCCAAGGTAATCCTTAATACACACTCTTACTTATGCTTGTTCAGACTCACTCCTCATATTCCTTCAGTGGCCATCTAGGCATCTCTGAAATGTTGGTTTCATCTCTAAAAATCAGTGAGTTCTCTTATATCCACATGTATAGAGAGTCCACATGAGCACAATCCAATTCAAGGCTAATGTCATTTGCTCATTCTCCACTAGTCACTAAGGTCTCTGTTGAGTCATGTGCCAGAGGTTCAGAAATTTCCCTAAGTTCTCCAAGGTCTATCAAGTGTCCGGGAAGAACCAGTCAAATAGATCCCACCTGCTGCTGGTGGGAGTCATTTCCTCATTCTTCACTAGTGACTAATGCCAATTATTTTTTTTTAATGAATCTATTATTAAAAATAAAAAAAGAAATCTCCAAATCTCAGCAATGAAGAGGTAGTGATCTGTCCATAACAAGAGCTTTATAAATTTCCCTAAGTCCTCCCAGGTCTATCAGGTGTCCAGGGAGGACCAGTCAAATAGTGTGATGGAATGGAATATGAAGGCCAAGCTCAGGGAGATAAGCATTTTCTTAGCTCACCGGAACCGCGTGAGAGGACCAAAAGGATGAGACTGACACCTCCCTGAAGAATTCACCCTGTTGTGGCTGGAGGACTTTGGGAACTGGGGTTTTAGTCTGGGAAGATTCTTGCTAGAGGAAGATTCTTGCTAGAGCTAAACGTAGCTGGACTGAATTTGCATGGTCCCTTGGAGTTCCTTGGGCTAGGCCTGACATCAATCTTCCCGGACTGATACTACCTTCAAGAGGAAGGAGTTTGAATCATGGCAACGGATCCCCAGGGAGCTAATTTGACACCACAGTTACTGGCAGCAGCAAGTGGATGCACAAATTAATAACCTACAAGCAGCTATGGGAAGATTGATGTCAGGCCTAGCCCAAGGAACTCCAAGAGAGG